GAGCCTGGATCAGATCATCGAGACAATGAGCGTCTTGAATGGATTTGTTCACTATCTTGGGAAACCGATCCACGGCCAAGACAAGCAGGTTCTCCCTAGTGATGTGAGCAAGTTCATCAAGGCATTCTGTTTTGGATAGGAGCTGGTCGCAGGCAGAGGTGGTAGAGTTCACTGTCTTGAGAAGTTGTTTTGACTGATGTACCAAAATTGGTTCTTTGGCAGCGTACGCTCGTCTCAAATGGCGTTCTTCTCCGAGACGAACACGAGTTCGTCCAAGGTGCCCGGCAATTCTCTTCTAAAAATATATAACAGTCATTTCGTACAGTTATATCCAGATAATTACTAAAGAGGATATGACAAAAATGAAGGACATTAGCTACTCATAGTATGATATTTTACTAAATTCAGATTATTTAAGACAACTAGTTTATTTTGGATATGTATCAATATTTATGTAACAATAATCTTATCAGTCGCTGGATAAATTAGCACCCTCAAAGTATCCGGTTGCCTTGATCCAATAAAAGCAACCGAGAAAAAGCACACGGAAATGCGCACACAACTGAGTTAGAAAAAAGGTACCAAAGGCAAAATAACAAGGCAATAGCAGTCACAAACCTTCTTTTGAAATATCCCCTGAAAGGTTCATATTTTTACTCATCACAATAACATACTTTTAATTCGAATGAGAATAGGGAATGCTAGATTGTTCAAAATCAAAATGACAGTCTAACTTAATTTTGAGAGCAGGAACATAATGTAAATGAAGGCTTCGGAAGAATAACTAATGAAAAGGCTATAGTGAAACAAACACGATTTACATTGCACATAAATACTTTCGAGAATTAAAGAGTTAAAAAGATTTGGAAGAATCAAATAAACGGTACGGAACTACTAGCATGTAAATGAAATTCATCTTTTTAATGAGAGTTTAAGATGAGGTAGCTTACAAATTGTTTGGAGCATGCAATTTTCCACTTTGAGAGCCTCCTTAAGAAAACGGAGCTCATCAGTTTCTATCTGAGAGTCTGAGTACAACTGATTTATCAGAGCCAAATCCTCCTCTAAAACCTTGCGTCGCATCTCCAAATCGCTAAAATAAGATGCATTAAGCAAAATAAATAAATAAAGAAAATGATATAACGAAGAGCTCAGTATACCTGATGCGTGAGCTGATTTTGCATCAAATTAAAATTTAGTTCGTCGATAAAGATACCAGTTTTTGTTATGGTAGCATCTAAATCCCGTCGAAGACGCTCAAGCTCCTCATTGTAGCTCCGCACCATTTCCTTCCTGCTTAAGCAGGTGTTGACTTCGG